ACATTCACCTTAAGGCCAAAGTGTGCATATGCATCTGCGTAGGTGTTCAGGATCTGCTGTAGGTCGTGTTCAGTGTAACCGACAAGGGTGAGGTCCTCTGCATACTAAAGTTCAGTAATGGAAGCTGCCTGCACCATTGTTTCTGCCTTGAGCCATCTTATGAACACCCTTCATCCGGTACTGGATGTCCACCCCACAGGCTAAATCGGCACTGGCACAAGTAAGGAAGGCAGCCAAGAAAATGGAAAAGAGAGATGGTGCCAGTACACATCTTTGTTTTACCTCCATTTGGATGGGGAAGAACTCAGATTGGGTGCCATTGTACAGGACACTGCTGTTCATGCCATTGTGGAGTTGCTTCACAATGGTAATGAATTTTGGTGGGCAGCCAAAACGACTATGGGTTCGCCAGAGGGCTTCCCTGTTGACTGAGTCGAAGGCCTTGGTTAGGTCGATGAAAGCCATGTGCAGATCACGATGCTGTTCTCTGCACTTTTCCTGTATCTGGCGGGCAGCAAAGATCATTTGAGTGGTGCCACATTAAAATTCTTATAGAAAGTTTTCCGCCTCGGGAAGAAGTCCGTTTATGAGGATTCGGGGGATAGTGTTGCCAGCCATGGGCAGTAGCGAGATCCCGCAGTAGTTGCCACAGTCTGACCAGTCTTCCTTGTTTATATAAATATTGACAATGGAGGCATCCTTAAGAGCATGGGTGATTTCCTCCTTTTCCCATATATTCTCCAGGAGAGAGTAGAGACGACTGGTAAGCAGAGGTCCTCCTGCTTTATACACCTCGGCTGGGATTCCATCAGGCCCTGAGGCTTTGTTATTTTTCATATGTTTGGTGGCAGTAGCTACCTCATCCAGTGATGGAGGATAGCTGAGGTGGGCCTACTCTGGATGCTATGGGACCTGCTGGGTAGTCAACACATCCACATCGGTGTTTCGGTTGAGCAGTGAATAGGAGTGTTTTTTCCAGCACTAAAGGATACCTTCTTCATCTTTAATTAGGGAATTACCATTGGATGAGTGGAGGGGAGCTGCACCATGAGTGATTGGCCCATAAAATGTTTTAGTGGAATTGAAAAATTCGTGCATCTTGCATTGTTCTGCAAGTTTTTGCATTTCACATGCTTTATTTTTAACCCTTAGGCCCCGGGTGACGTTCCAAAACGTCCGCCTATTTTCCCACCATTTATACCCGCGAGGAGCTTAAGGATTAAACCAGTTGTTCTTTAGATTGCAAAGTACACTCTGAGCCATGGCTTTCTTCTTGTGGAAAGTATCAGCTATGGCCCGAGACTGAGGGTTATTCTGCCAGTCAGTTAAAGCAGCACTTTTATCACAGACAAGTACATTGATTTCCAGATTATTTTCATCAAACCAGTCCTGGTGTTTTCTTTCGGTCTGGCCAAAGGTCTCTCTGCACGTTTTTCTCATGACAGTGTCGAGAATATCCCATTCGGCACTTGGATTTGGGTTGCTTGTTGTCGGGTTGTTTATCAGCCATGTTCGAGCTGCTCTCTGAAAGCATTTGCTACCGCTGGACCCTCCATACGCTTAGTGTTAAAACCTCTTCTGGAGGCTTCTTGCCTTCACCATTTTGGGGTGACGAGAAGTGAAAGCTTGGTTCTGACGAGCCGATGACCAGTGTTGCAGTGGTCTGAGCCATGCATGGCTCCGGTGATGAGGACATCTCGGCGATCTCTTTCTCTGTCAATAATGTAGTCAATGAGATGCCAGTGTTTGGATTATGGGTGTTGCCACGAACCCTTGAACTTGTCTGTCTGCCTAAACAAGATATTGGTGATATTGAGGTTGTGTGCAGTACACTTGCTGAGTAGGAGTAGGCCATTGGGATTACACTTGCTTAGTCCATTTCTCCCTATGGTTCCCTGCCTAATGTCAGCATCTCTGCCAACTCTGGCATTGAAATCACTTAGGAGCTCACCTTCTTCCCTGGGGATAGAGGTTAGCACTCTGTCGAAGTCAGCATAAGAGGCCTCCTTGGTGTCATCCTCTGCATCCAGTGGTAGGGCGTGTGCACTGATGAAGAAGGCATGATGTGAGTGATTCAGTGGAACTCTTGAGTATGATGAGGTGCTTGTTGATCCCAACAGGCATTTCAGTTAGCCTGTGTAGGATGCATTGGCGGATGACAAAGCCAACTCCATAAATGCGGTTTCACTCCACAGCAGGCTTACCCTTCCAGAAGAAGGTATAGCCAGACCCTCTTTCTGTGAATTGACCCTCATCTGGGAGTAGGGACTCACTAATGGTTGCAATGTCGTTGTTATACCGAGCCAGCTCTTTTGCCAAATGGCGGTTCTTCTCTCAGTATCTAGAAGGGTCCTGACATTCCATGCAGCGACCATAAGAGGTTGTATAGTTTGATTTTGTTTTATCTGTGATTATAAATGTGTTTTCGACTGCATAAGGATGCCTTTACTGGGTGCGGTTACCCAGTCAGGTTGGTTCTTTAGGCAGGCTATGTTTAAGGCACCTTTTCTAGCCCTCTCCCCATGTGGGGTGAAGAGAGTGGCTTCTGGAAAGGGCTGCTCAGTCGCACAGATAGGACTGGATTGCACTGCTGCCTAGATCCCAGTACATAAACGACCATCTTATCTATGCCACCCATGTGCAGAGTTGTGACTAGAGACTCCCAGCAGTCATCTCTGCCTGTCCCCATTGACATAGGACCCTTGGAGGTATAGGGGTTTTGGTGATGATGAAAGGTATGATGTGCTGGATGATGGCTGCACATGAGATGATTTATGTGGTGAGGCAGGATGCAGGCTGCAACCACACATCTTGGCTCTCCCGTTTCCTGATCCAGTGGTGCAGGTGTTGCAATGGTTGGAGAGATTGGGATTTGCAATGGACTGCTGATAACCCAGTTTGTTGGGTTTCGCCTAAGTAGCCTGTCCATCATGCATTGCCTTCGTCCGCCGGTGTAGTCATTGGGTTCCTATGGTGGTCACCTCTTTCACCTATACTGCCGTTGGGGTCTTGTTGGAGCTCTGTAAGCATGTTTGCCTGATGCCGGGCTCCGCCTCAGATTTTTCGTTCAGGGTTTACTTCCGTAGCCTTATACCTACCAAGGTTAATCCGCAAGGCAGCGAGGCAGTGGTTGGTAGGCGCCAGGACGTGTCCACATGCCAGTGGGCTTATGCGCCATCCCTCTGGGGCCCACTGCTACTCCGAGATCCCCTGCCGGTCTAGCATGGGCTCATGAGGCACCCAGTTACTGTGTGTTGCCACAAGGGGGCACAGCAGGAGTCTTGAAGGTGAAGAGGCTGTGTACTGGCAGGGGAGGACTTATTAAAGTTGCTTCCATGTTCGCCACGAGGGCTAGCCAGCGGCAGCAGCTGAAAGCGAGAGGAAACAAGCAGTGCTTGCAACTTAACTCTAACATATTGCTGCCACACTACATGTATCACACTTCCCTATGCACACACACACACACACACCATAAATAATATATTAAGTATATTTTTCTAAGTGAGAAATAATACTTCAACTAATCACCTATCAAGGTGTTGACAAAATCATAAACATTGTGCGAGTTAATTTTTTATAGTTGCTCAAAAGCTAGTGATATCCAAGAAATATGCAGTGTCTCACTACAGGCCAAGGAGCCTCCTGGCTGAATTTTTCTGTAAATATTTTTTTTTACAAGAGTTAAGTAAAGGAAAAGGACCCTACTAGAAATAAGCTTATGATGTTATCGAGTTATCTTTGGTCAAATCGACTTGCTATTTACCATTTTTGTATTCTATATCTGCCCTATATGTGTACAGTATATCTTTTGTATACCTGCACTGTCTATTTAAAGTACAGGTAAAGTCACAATCCAAAGATTCCCCCCCTCCCCTCCCCGGCTGGAGGGAAGGCGAAGCCAAGGTTGAAGAAAGACCAGGTGATTGGACATACACTATTATTTGTGCTGTCGCTATATATTAATATTCATAAAATAATTATGGCCGTGCCAACATACCATAATTATCAAGTCAATATTTTGGACACTGTGAGGTGTGCTGACGATGCGAGGGGCGAGATGACGAGGCAAGAGGTGAGGTAACAAGGTAGGAGGCGAGTTGAAGTGACAAGGCATTTACACAGCACACACATTAACAGCACTCCTAAATCATTGTATTATAACATTATAGTTTTTTAATTTATATTTTAAAATTAATTGAGACATGATGGCTCTATTTGGCTACTTTTGCACTTAGACGCTGATCAGTGAATAAACCAGGGCTTATGGAGACGCATTATACACTACAATAAAATTTATTAAGTTCTGATAAATACACTACAATATTATTTACTAAGTGCTCAAGACAGACCCTCTTGAACAGTGACAACAATGGTAGTTGAGAGATGGTGAGTGTTAGCAACATTATTAGGGAGAGCAGGAACGATCATCTGTTACTGTTCTGTAAACAAGAGAGGAATATACTAGGGAGTCTACAATAGCTCATCTGAGATTGAGTGTGGTTTTTTTTTCGGGAAATTAATTATCTTTCGATAATATTTTGTTAACCCAGCACCAAATGAACCTGAATAATAGGGGGAAAATTATGGGTGAAATTACATGCTGTCATTATAAAGGAATCGCAGGCTACCGAACAGGAGGCGGTGAGTCGTCTTCCCTCCTCGTCGGCCACCTACTTTCGCCAGCTACTCACCAAATGTAGTTTTGTACATTCATTCATTCTTAATCTGTTTCATATTATATTCCTATAACAATAATTGAATTTTTTTAACCACTCATTTATTTCAAATTCATTCCGAATTCAAATCGTTTAAATATTAAAAAAAAAAACAAGAATAAAGCAAAATCCGAATTATAACGATCCAAATTAATGAGGGTAAAATACAGCTTATTGTTTTGAAATTGATTGATTATTGCAAAACATGGCTACCCTTTTTTCTAATTGATGATAATACTGTAAACTTTTCAAGATTGTTGCTTACAAATTTATACTTGTTTTCAGATTTTCAGAGGTGCTGTGACTGCCTCCGAGCCCGTAATTCAGATATTTACAAAACCTGTAGAAACACGATATGTGAGATTGAAGCCCACAGACTGGTACCAAGCCATTGCCTTGAGGTTTGAAGTCATTGGCTGTGGGGGTGTTACTATACCCTCTACTTCTACAGTCAGTACGTACTCACAGTTAACATGACTAATTTCTGTTTGAAGTGTGGAAGAGAATGTGTGTGTGTGTGTGTGTGTGTGTGTGTGTGTGTGTGTGTGTGTGTGTGTGTGTGTGTGTGTGAGTGTGAGTGTAGACAATAGGAGGAGTAGTACAGTACATGTTTAATAAATCCCGGACAATCTTCATCTTCAAGCCTTGTCCAGCCAACAAACCCTCCAACTCAATTGTTCATCCGCCATTGTTTACATCTTTTGTCAGCTTTATATCCCTGTGATTATTGCTTTAGTTCTCTTGATTCTTTAAGCTATCAAACATTGAAATATAACTAGTACAGTAAAATGGGTCAAACTTCATTGGATGGTAAAACACCTAAAAAAAAAAAACATGTACCCCATGTACTGTAATTATGACACTTCTATTGATGCAAGTACTGTACTGTTTATGATATAAATATAAAAATTACAAATTCAGATCTTACAATGCAAGTACTGTACAGACAGACCCCCATTTATGAAGCCTTGGTTTACAAAAATTTGGAGTTACAAAAAAATAATTACCATAATTTTGTCCCATTGCGTATTTGATTTACAAATAAGAAAAAATATGAAGGTACATTTTTTTCTAAAAAAAAATTTCTTTTCCTAATAATGAAATTATGTTAATGAGTTTTTCTGCTACTAGTATTCTTGCTGATTTTACTAATTTGCTTCATTATTATCTTACACTCCATATACATTTGACTGGGTAATGTTCTTTTTAAGTTTCCGTGACCATGACAAAAGTCATATGTGACCACACATGTGAGGTCTGGTCATCTTCGTTCTGCAGCCTGTGTGTGTGTGTGTGTGGCTTCATTATTTATTAGGCTGTAACATAAGCAGAAAAAAGACGATAATAAGTTTGCCTTTTTTTCACTCCGAATAAAGGAAAAATATATTTGTGTTCTTGGCATCATATCTTGGAAATTTTCTCACAAACCAAGTAAGTGAACCATAGTTGTAGAGCAGGAATTTTATGAGCTTTCCAATGGTGGCTTTGAAATTATTATCTGAGTAATATTGGGGAGGGTGGGAGAGGAGATAAAGGGACAAACACAACCTACCGGAACAACTGACAGGAGGAAACTGAAGGGCAGTGGGACTCGCCCATGCTTTAGTACTTTCTGAAAGCTTCTCTCGCAAGATCATGCTTTTTTTTCTGTAAAGCACGAAAATTTAACCCAATATTCTTTTAAAGTTTATTAGTGTGATTCGCATTACCGGTGCAAATAGTGTTGTTACCCAGTAATTTGACATGATTCGCATTATGGTGCACAAGAGGAATATGGTGCATACAAGCTAATAAAAAATTTGCTCTTGCACCTTCTTCAGTATAAACTAGGCAATTGATGACTTCTAATCTCTCTTGGTAAGTGAGGTGTATGAGAGCTGACATCAGTTTGGTGACCTCCTTTGGATATTCTCTATCAATTTGCAGGCTTTGGTGTATCTCTGAGACTAAGTAGAATTACAGAACTCCAAGTGAAGTCTCACCAGACTTTTGAAAAGCATTACAATAGATTACCCATTTATATATGTGTACGAGTTTCCAAGGACGAAAATCAGGCACATTTTTCCCTCCAAAATTAGAAAATAATTCCAAGAAAAAAATCTCTTAAAGCCTTTCTATTCTGGGCCTGGGAACAAAATTTTTGAGAGATTGCATCATGCTCCAACTCATCCCCATGTGCCAGGCGTGTGGGTGGACTAACTGCTTGGGTAACTTGTACCATACACTATTGTACTGTACCAGAACACAATCAGCCAAGAATACAGTGTTAAAGCAGTGTCAAGATATAAAAAGTGATTACAGTTATGTATACAGTGCTGTACATTCAATAAGTGTGAAAGTATCATATGTACAGGAAAAGGGAAACACTGGACCATCTTAGTTTTTGTCTTTATTCAAGAAAATATATATTCTATGTTGAACAAATTCTTTTATATTCTTTTAACATTAGACTTTTTATTATAAACTACAGTACACTAATACAATACTAAATCATCTATTTTTTCTATCTTACCCTCTTGTGTCTGTGTGAAACTATACTTTTTCCATAACATTATCTTTATCTTAATCAGAGCCAGAGTGCGAAGAACAAATGGGGCTGGAGAATGAGGAGATGTCAGACCATCAGATCATAGTTTCCTCAGTCCTCAACAATCAAGAACACTTTTATGGGAAAAAAAATATCCGCCTCAACAGCCCGTCCATTCCACAAGAGTCTGCAGGAGCTTGGGTAGCAGAACCCAAAACTGACCAGTTTGTTCGAGTAAGTTTTATTTTTTAAAGGAATTATGTTACTTTTAAGTCAGAGATTATGTAGTAGGAATGCAAGTTATGTTGAAATATTTGCTTTGAAATAACATACAGTATGTAGGGTTATTACAAATTGGTGCCTCCATAAATTTTGACCTGGAAGCTAAAATTGAAAGGGTTCATTTATTAAGAGATGACTAGATATACTAGAATCTTTCAACAATTGCCTCCATGTTGGGTTTGAAGTGCTGGAAGATACAATATGTTTCACTTGTGAGTAGGGTGGTCAGTGTGCGTTATAACATCTAGGATATATAGGCTGCACCTTGGGTTCAGTTCTGGGTCACACCTAGAAAGTGTGTTATTCTCTCTTTCTCAGCGGGTATGGGTATGAAAGAAAGTGCGCACGCAATCAACTTCACTTTTAAAACAATCTAATACAGTAAGTAGTATTTTTTCCCTTAATAATATTTAATATACTGAAATAATTTTCTCCGTTAGTTTGACTTCCTGGAGCCGAGCAAGCTGTCAGGATTGATATTACAAGGGCGAAGTAACAAGGACGAGTGGGTAGAAACATTCACTGTCCGCTACTCTCCTGATGGTCAGACGTGGAGTACTGTCAAGAACCCAGATGGGAGTGACAAGGTAAGGACTCTCTCTCTCTCTCTCTCTCTCTCTCTGTTGGAATTTTTTCTAACCTTCCACCAACCTAAAATTTTATTACAGTTAATCAGATGTATCTGTTATTGTCTCTCTTGCCTGGAAATGTTTCAGTTGAGTTGATAAACTTTTGACTACACAGTGTAATGTGTGAGAAAAAAATAATACAATACAACTTAAGAATATACTGTAGTAAGCCAGGAAAAATAATACAGTATTAATCTTATGCAAGTACAGTCATCCAAAGATGAACTAACCCCACCCTGGGTCTCGTACTCACAATTTTACCTGGCAATATTTGGTGAATTAAGGCTGTATGTAATTGTGATTGTGATTAGTGCATCTGTTTTTGGCTGTATCACTGTCGGGATAAATCAAAGGTAGCATTTTTATAATAGCAGGTCCACCACCGATTTCCCAGCACCCTTGGTTCCAAAGCCTTGCCGGATTATCCATTTTGCTGGACCAACCGAGGTCAGGTAATAATAAATCAACAATACACCTCTGACCCACTAATTATACACCTCATGTGTCTCTACAGCACCATGGACTGGTAGAAACTTAAATGAAAAAAATATTAAATGTATATTAAATGTGAAAAAAACCATAATTTTGAGCAACATTACTGTACAAACTTTGTACCCAAATGTACTACACTAGACTAAATTTTTATCTCTTGTACAAACTATGTGATGTTTATACTCAAATTAATCACTATCTTACAAGGATTCCAGCAATGCAATTTATATTCTTTTTAAGTCTAGTCAGCTACATTTTATAAGATAAAAACTTTAAGCCTAAAACTAGCTTCACCCTTGGCTGGGAGGGAGGGAGGGAGGGAAGTTAAGTGCCCTTTCATAATTTTGTCTGGACTGAAGGAGGTGCCGGACCATCAGTTCCCGGATAATCGATCGGTGTTGTACCTGTAATAAACTATTCATCATTATTTTAGATCGTGAGAAGTTTCCAAATGTTCGTATATTTTCTTAAATGGGAAAGAAAATTATATTATTGAATTGACAACTCAACTACAACCACAGCTGCCACAAGATTCTCACATAAAATTTTCTTAATGATTTAAACAAATATACGAACATTTGGAAACTTCTCATGACCTAAACTAATGATGAATAGGTTATTGTGAGAGGTTCAAACAAGATGCCAGCTTCATTGGTGACTTTACTGTGTATCCTTCTCTTACTGGCGCCAGACAGCAACTGCCTGTCTGGGGGTCACTACAGAAATCTCTGCTTCCACATATGGGAAAACATATCATACCTCATCATAACAATTTTACACCTTCTTACAATCTTATATCTCTCCTCCAAGTTAAAGGAAATGACAATGCAAATAAAACAAAAGAAAAACTGAAAAAAAATCGAAACGAATTTTACACAGCACACACTACACCACGTAGTCAGCCAACCAACCCGGGGGCCTGCGGCCCCTCCCTGGCCTGGCCATGCCCGACCGGGATGGGGCCGGGGGGGGGTGAGCGAGGGCGCTGGTACAGAGGGCACCGCGGGAGGGGGCCAAGCGGCATAGCAGGGAGCACCGCGGGAAGGGGCCAAGCGGCATAGCAGGGAGCACCACGGGAGTGGTAGGCATAGGTGGCGCCACAAAGCAGGCGGCGTCTGTTACGGATGGACAACCTGCCACTGCCAGTCAACCTGATAGCATACTGCCTGTGAGGGCGGGCTTCTACCACTACGCCCGTCCTGTCCCAGAGCATGGTGGCGGCGTACTGCACACGCACCTGCGCGCCCACAGCTAGGGGAGCCAGCTGGCAGGACGCCTCCCCCCGCGACAGAAGGATCCCGTCCTGGGCTTCGGCCAAGCGTACATCCCTCATACGAAGCGCTTCCCGCCAGTGCTGGTCCACCTTGTAGTGCAGTCTAGCCACGGGGACGCCATCCCGGAGCTGGTGGCAAGTTGGGAGGGTGACTTGTTCACCCCCCGCCCCCCCTCCCCCCGCCCCCAGAGGTGTGTTCAGGCACTAGAGGGGGGCCTGGGATGGCCTGTCGCAGTCCAGGCTGCCCCCAGGCCCAGTGTTATCCCCGAGGAGCCTCTTGGCGGTCGTGACCCCAGCCTCTGCCCTGCCATTAGACTAGGGGAAGTGGGCTGACGAGAGCCGCACCTCGATCCCCCATGACTTGAGGAAATCCGTCATCTCACTGGTGGCAAGGTTGGTGCCTCCATCCATGGAGACCTGCTCAGGTGCCCCCCACCTCGTAAAGTAACCCCGCAGGCGGGCGATGATCTTGCCTCGTTGGGGAAGTGGGCGTCCTCCAGCCAGCCTGTGATTCGGTCAGCATATGCTAGGTACTTGTGGCCCTTCAGGTGGAATAAGTAAACTACCACCTATTGAAAGGGATAGTTTGATGCGGCGATCAAGACCAATGACTCCGGAGGCTGGGAAGGGGCGTGGGTCTCGCAGGCAGCACACCAGGACCGATGATACTGCAGGTTACCCTCCATGCCAGGCCAATAGATGGACTGCCGGGCCTGCCTGAGCATGGAGTCAAGGCTCTGGTGCCCCACGTGCAGATTAATGGCAACCCGGTGGCGGAGGGAGTCGGGAATGACAAGGCGCACACAGCCCTGGTCAAAGTGTAGGTGACCAAACTCCTGACCACAGCCAACCTGTCCTTCACCAAGAAGTACGGGTGCAGACAGGCCACCTCCTGTGACTTGTGGGGGCGCCAGTCATCCGCCAGCACCCTCAACACTAGCATCTGGTACACTGGATAGTCCACAGCCGTCTTGCACACAGTGTCCTCGTCCATAGTGATGCATCCATCCTGATCCAGTGCTGCAAATGTGACCGCACACACTGCAGCACACAGGTCCTCTATGTCAGGCGCCACTCTGAGGGCGGGGAAGCAGGATAGGGCGTCAGCTGCACAATTCCGCCTCCCTGGCAGGTACTTGACCGTGAACCGGAACTGCAGTGTCTTCTCCTTGAGCCTGAACAGGCGCGCATTTGCCACATCCGGGAGGGCCCTGTCCCCAAGCAACCCAACTAAGGGGCGGTGGTCCGTCACCAGGATGAGGTTCGGGCAGTCAAGGAGGAACAGCCTGGCCTTCCGCAGGCACCATACCACCGCCAGGGCCTCCCCTTCCACTGTAGCGTAGCCAGCCTCGGCCGTGCTCAGATGTCGGCTATAGCACAGAGCCAACCGCCACCCCCCTCTACAGCAGAACGGCGTCTCTGGCGAGGCACCGGCACAATATTGCTGCAGGACGACGAAGCCAATGCCCTCCCTGCTCCAGTCAGTGACAGCTGCTGTGGGCCTGGACTTGTCGTAGTACACCAAGCCGTCCCTGGCCAACTGACAGATGGTGTCCTGGGCCTGGCGAAACTTGAGCCGCAGCTGATCATCCCAATACACCTGTTTGCCCACTGGCTTCTTGAGGAGCTCGCAGAAGGGCTCCATCACAGGTGCAGCGGCAAGGAAGGGAGCCAACTGGTTAACCAGGCCATGCCAGGACCTGATGTCAGTGATTGATGGCCGATCAGGCATGGGTATGTCCTTGATGACTGACAGACGTTGGGCAGTGGGCTGGTAGAGGTCCCACCCCAGGAGGAAACCCACAAACTCGGCTTCTCTCCTGCAGAACTAGAACTTTTCTGTTTTCAGTGTAATACCTGTACGAGCACATGTCTCCAGAAAATCGTAGGTGAGTCTTAACGCCCCCTTCACACTGTAGTTATAAAGGAGAGTGTCATCCATGCACTTGTACTTGCGGGGCACATCCTGAATAGCGTCATCAAACCTCTTGGTGTAGGCATCTAACGCTGAACAATGTCCCATGGGCGTCCTGCAGTATTAAAAACTACCCCACGGCGTGATGAATGTGGTCAGATGTTTGCTCTCCTCCTCTAACTCCACCTGATAAAATGCCCAGAAGGCGTCGGCGACGGTTTTGAACGAGTGCACTGGCACCCTGGACACTGTCGAATGGTGCAGATGTGTGGTGTGTCTCCCTCAGACAGCTTGCACAGTATGCCTGGCTGACCGTTATTCTTGGCCACCACGACCATCCTGGCGCACCACTCTGTAGCCTCACCAGCAGGCACTGGCTGGATGACGCCTCTCCTGACGTCCTCCTCCAACTGGGCCTTCACCTCCGCTTCCCAGTGTTTTGGAACGGGAGCAGGTGTGTGACAGGCGTAGGGGATTGTGCCGGGCGTCGGGTGGATGCGATGAGGGAGGCCAGCCATTACTGGCAGTGGAGACCTCCTGTTGGATGCAGTGGATGAAAAGTGCCTGATGTGCCGTGCCTCCAACCTGGCCACATTCTCCTCCAAAGGAGGCAAGGGCATCTCAACTGACCTAGTAGGGGCATAACTGCTCCCAGGTCCAGGGCTCAGAGGCAGGTCGTCGGCTGCATTCTGCCCACCTCCATCGCCCACGGCAACCACAGCACGCCCATGGAGAGAGAAGTCGACAGGCACCAGGTCGAGGTATTTGCAAGCCTCCAATGACAGGTAGAGGGCTTTGGCTGTCTGCACGAAGTAGACCTCCTGGATTGTGAACCCCTCGCCCACACTGAGGCGGCAGGGGGGGACCCCAGACACTTGAGCTGTTTGTCCTCCTCGTCCCTCAGGCCATTGCGAGCCTGAAATTGCCCCGGACGCAAACCGATGTCCCGGAGCAGGGATGCCCCTGCCACACACACCATAGCACCCGTGTCAGCCACAGCCAGCACAGGGGTGGCGGGGGAATTGCCCCCAGCCTGGGCCACAAACACTTGTAACCATGGGTGGCGGGATAGCTTGGCTGCTGACACTGTGACAACACCTGACACATCTACAGAAGCACTTAGGGCTGGGTTTCTCTTTCAACACCTTTTGAAGTGACCAACCTCAGAGCAATTGCGACGTGTGGCCCCATTTGCAGGGAAGTTGCTCTTGCCCGGGGTATGTGGCATGCCGCAGTTCCCACAGTGCACGCGGCTGGAGTGTCCAGGTTGGGATGCTGCAACCTCAGACTCACTTGTGACCTCATCGCCAACCGCCGCCACTTCCCTGGCTGTTCCCGCCACTGCCTGGTCAGTCATATGACACAATGCATCTGCATCCCTCACTGCTGCCTCAAATGATATACACTTGTTTCTTAGCACTTCAACACTAGTGTAACTCGAGTACCCCTGGAAAATTTCCCTTTTCAACACTGGGTTACTCAGGCGCACCATAACTTTACGCAACGGCATGTACTCAGAGATGTCGTTATCACAGGTGGGACATTTGCATTCACACTCCACTGCCTCTGCAAAGCATTGTTGAAAGTACCTTTTCATGGGCTCCTTTTCATCTTGCTTGCTGTTGAAAAACTCGTTCCATTTCACTGCTTGGTTTGACGACTGAAGAACCACTCCACTGATGGCATCCAGGGCTTCCTTGGGCTAGAGCTGCTACCTCTCCGCTGGGATATCTTGAATCTATCATTAATTGAAATGCAGGGACACTGTTCAGGCGAATGTGGAGTGTGACCACCAGCTGTGACCATCCGTTCAACATCACCCATGACTCCATAGACCGCTTCCATGTCCTGAACGCCACTGCAGATACCTCCGCCTCACTCTTCTCTGGAGAAACCGCCGCTGAGGGTTTCATGACCGGCGTGGTGTTCCCTGCCGGTGTAGAGGTGCCCTGGCGTCCCGTTGAAGGACGTGGAGAATCGTGGTCGTGTAGGGCCATGTTGGCATCATCGTCGGGGCTGTTATGGCGTGTTGGTCCCTGGCGTAATACCCACTGCGCCCTGTGAGAGGTTAAAACAAGACGCCAGCTGTGTATCCTTCTCTTACTGGCACTAGACAGCAACTGCCTGTCTGGATGTCGCTACAGACATCTCCGCTCCCACATATGGAATGGAACCAGTGTTGAATAGTGGTGAGCAGTGTCATAAGATTTTTTTTTTCCATTTATTGGGCAACCCCCCACCCTACATCCTTGTGTAATGTGAAGTGCAGAAGCGTTTACAGCGCCCAACAGGGAAGCATGCTAAGTTCATGCTTGCCTTATGTCTCATGAATTAAGGGCGTAGAAGCCTGAAGAGTCGTAGGCGTAGAAGCCTGAAGAGTCAATGGTTTATGTCTAAGCAAGTTATTGGAAGTTCCAACAACTTGTCCCATAATACGAATTCGCAACTTTCGACTTACAGCAGGTACCTACTTTGCTGCTAAGTGAACAGGGACTAGGAAGAGTGTCCAAACAACTACCGCTGGCCCCGGAATCGAACCCGTGACATCTTGCTTGCGAGGTAAGAACGGTACCACTCAACCACCAACTCCCCAGAGTGTCTTAAGTCATTTGAAAAACAACTCGGCAGTAACATGTGAGTCGTACCCAAGCTAACCTTCACACAGTGAGGTCCCAGGTACCCAGCTATATGTTAATCCGTCCACGATAGGGAGGCCTGGGACCACACCTCATTCACTTGAGTGAGTGAGGTCCTGTGACACCAGACCACGTGGTGTCCACATGATGCTACGACAGCACGTAGTGAATGAGTTGCTACAGCATCATGTGAGATTCCTCAGAACACCATCTGTAAGGGAATTACTACACCACGTGATGCCACTCATAACACCACCCGTGAGGGAATTACTACACCATGTGATGCCCCTCATAACACCATCCGTGAGAGAATTACTACACCATGTGATGCCCCTCATAACACCATCCGTGAGGGAATTACTACACCATGTGATGCCCCTCATAACACCATCCATGAGGGAATTACTGCACCATGTGATGCCCCTCATAACACCATCTGTGAGGGAATTATTACACCACATCAGGCCCCTCATACACCATCTGTGAGGGAATTACTACATCATCAGGCCCCGCATAACACCATCTGTGAAGGAATTACTACACCACATCAGGCCCCTCATACACCATCTGTGAGGGAATTACTACATCATCAGGCCTCTCATAACACCATCTGTGAGGGAATTACTACACCACATCAGGCCCCTCATACACCATCTGTGAGGGAATTACTACACCACATCAGGCCCCTCATACACCATCTGTGAGGGAATTACTACACCACGTCAAGCCCCTGTGAGGGAACATAAGCAAGTTTGCGGATGACACCAAAATAGGGCGGCAGATTAATTCAGGGCAGGATGCAAATGCATTACAGGAGGATCTAAATAAACTGCAGGGGTGGTCTAAAAAATGGCAAATGAAATTCAACACCAGCAAGTGCAGCGTACTTAATATTGGAAGAACAAATACTGACAATGTATACAGCCTTAACAACATCAACCTAGAGAAGTCGACTTGTGAAAGAGACCTAGGGGTACTTGTAAGCCCGGACCTACAGCCTAGAAAACAGTGCGTTAATGTTCGAAATAAGGCAAACAGAGTACAGGTATTGGGTTTTATATCTAGAGTGCAGAGGTCTTATTGCAACTATATCTTGCGCTAGTCAGGCCGCACCTCGATTATGCGGTTCAGTTCTGGTGCCCTTATTATAGAGTGGATATCAATTCACTGGAGTCGGTGCAGCGAAGAATGACGAAAATAATTCCGGGACTTAGAAACCTTCCATATCAGGATAGGTTAAAGAAACTTAACTTGCATTCCCTAGAAAGACGAAGAGTGCGGGGAGATATGATAGAATTATTTAAGTGGGTGAAAGGAATCAATAAAGGAGATATAGATAAAGTTCTTATAATATCCGAGCAGGATAGGACTCGGAGCAACGGATTTAAGTTGGATAAGTTTAGGTTTAGGAGGGAGATAGGAAGAAACTGGTTCACAAATAGGGTGGTGGACGAGTGGAACAAGCTTAGCAACTTTGTAGTAAGTGCTGGAATTCTGGAAAGTTTCAAAAGGAGGCTAGATAGATTCATGGATGATAGAGAGTGGTAGTAACTCTCGACAGGAGCTGCCATGCACAGGCCAACCGGCCTATTGCAGACTCCTTATTTTCTTATGTTCTTAGCTTAACTACTACTCCATGTGATGCCCCTCATAACGCCATCTGTGAGGGAGTTACTACACTACGTGTCTGCTGTTCAATACCTCCTCTCACAAGATCTATGTGACCTCCACTGTAAACATTAATCTGTATGTTCACTGTATGTTCCTTTGCCTTTCTCTAATGAAGGCTTTTGTTAAACTACCAATGTCAATGTATGTAATAAGTCATTTATGTCCAATGTATACTTTCAGCCTTCGGGTTGCAGAACTTTTTCAAAACTTTTTCAATAAGCCGTTAATTATTATTTTATTATTATTTATTATTATATAGGAAAACATATCATACCTCATCATAACAATTTTACACCTTCTTACAGTTATTATTATAGAAATGCTACCTCTGATTTGCCTGACAGTAATACAGCCGAAAATAGATCCACCAATGACGATTACCATTATATACTGTCTTAATTTACCAAGTATTGCCACGCAAAATTGTGAGTACAAGACCCAGGGTGGGGTCAGTGCATCTTTGATTGTCTGTACGTCCATTACTGTTGAACCTTAACTGTCCACACCCAACCAAGCTCCTGTTCTCCTTAAAACCATTGGTAATTGCCATTTGGTAGTTTCTTCAAACTTGTTTTTAGTTAATTGGCATAAGTTATAAACCTTATTTAATAAGTCATAGTTTTGTTTTGATTTTTGTAATTTTATTAGTTATTTCTAATGATTAGAACTTGAAATTATGATTTGAATTAATCAATAAAATGTGGGCAGAGCAAAATACTCCTCCATTGTGTCCTGCAGCAGACATCGACTTAGACCTGTTCAAATTCTAAATGTTTTAAGCAGGGTCTTCTTTACTTAATATTTATATTACAACTATATATTTCATTTTGATTTTTAAAAGGTGATTGACCATTTTGTAATTAATTTAGGCTTAAAAATATGTAAGTTGTCTTACCATAGTTGGAAAAGTGAATGGTGTAATTTTTTCAGAAGTAATTTTAAATGTATATTGAACAATGGGTATAAAATATATTGGTTTCATCAAATGTTAATGACTTTCAGGTGTTTCCTGGCAATTATGACAGAAGTACAACAACGGAGACCAAGTTTGAAAGACTCATCCAAGCTCGTTTCTTGGAGATCAGACCAAAGACATGGAAAAGCAATATTGCCATGAGAGTTGAAGTGCTTGGCTGTTTCCACCCATACCGTTAGTAACATGTCATTTTGGTTTTTATTGCAACTGTACTGTATTCATTATTTATGCGATATATATATATATATATATATATATATATATATATATATATATATATATATATATATATATATATATATATCTTGATAAAATCTCACGGGAAAAGGGAAACAACGGAGCACCTTAGCTTTCGTCTTTATTCAAGACATCTTCAGAGGCAACTGGATTACATGGGCAGAGAGAGGCATAAATATACAGGGTGACTTTATAAAACATGAGGTCAGGTCATAATGATGTCATCCACTAATCCCCACACCAACACACACGTAGAGGAGCTTAAGAGAAGGGGGTGACGTGACTAGTCAGGTCAGGTCAAAAATAAGGGACCCACTAAATAACTATCATACATCTAGATGATTTAAATACTTCTAAGCTTTTTTCCCAAGCAATGGGGTGATTATTATTCCTAACCCTGTATATTTATGCCTCTCTCTGTTCATGTAATCCAGTTGCCTCTGAAGATGTCTTGAATAAAGACGAAAGCTAAGGTGCTCCGTTGTTTCCCTATTCCCGTGAGATTTTATCAAGATTTATCTTATCCAATATATTTTATACCCATTGTTCAATATATATATATATATATATATATATATATATATATATATATATAGTAACTACTTTTTTCCCACAAATGGCCTCCAGCCTCCCCCAATAGCCATACCTTCACTACCATATTATAACCTTAATATTACATATCCTAATACATAGCTGTGTTGAGTTAATTGAGCCGCAGATCTATGCGGCATTCAGTGACTGTAGCCTCATAGTCAATATCTGTAATTGTTGTCGGCTTTGGGGCCGATGCTCTCATTCCCCTGAGGCAGAGCAAGGCCGACCGAAAGAGAGAAAAGGACAGTCGACATCTCATCCAGGCTGTAACATAACTTCTGGGCTGCTGGTTCTTTTCGGATATCACCTCCGCGAGTCTGGCGTAGAAGCACCTTGCACTTCGTCCCATCCCACCAGAGGTTGTGAACACTAGAGGAGTGAAGCTGCCTTGATCAACGTTCTGAATTCTCTTCCCTTATGCCCTTATCTTGTCGTTCTCGTTCCTCCTGTGTGCAGCATCGAGAGCTAAGTTACGGTGACATGCGGCCATGGTATCAAAAATCCTGATGTCGAAGAAGGCTCGATGTCCCCGCGTCCAGAATCCTCGAGCACTGACGGCGACACGGGCTTCGTTGGATGTGTTTGAAGTCCTTTGTTGGAAAATCTCACCGTCCAATGGAAGGAGGGTCGTTTCTACCCTGACATCACGGCAGATTTCCTTCAACATATTTGCTGTGAGATCCCTTTCTTCGTCATGCATCATGCATATGAAGCCCCCTTTCTTGCATACCATGGCGTGATCGATGTTATAGGAAGAGCCACACTCGCATTGGGTGGGCAAACCTACTGTCCTACCATACTTTAGAGCATTGGCATCTGTAAATTCTTGTTTATTGAGACTGAAACCATTTGCTCTTATCGGTAACGTAGTTAACCTGTTCGAGGCGCCCACCTCCTGCTCTATAGCTACTTTTTTTCAAATTCTCTGGTACTTGCAACAACAGTTGCTGCAACTTATCACTTTGGCAGTGCTGTCGTTCTGTCGTAATGGACCTTCGAATCTTGTTTACTTCACTGGTATCCACCTCCCCTGTTGCATTCTTAGCTATTATGCGGTCCGTGAGGGCTGCCGTGAGCTTAACTGAGTTTTGATGTTCAGTGGCAGCTATCTCCTCTGGATTGATTAATCCCATACCTCCCAGTCTCGGTGGTAGTGCAAGGAGTGATCTTTCTGCTGGGGTTAAGTGAGGATGTTTCACTAATTTGGGAATTAAATTGACACTGATAGCTTCTTCCAGAGGGTGGAGGAGGGGTCTGATATCAGGGATAGTACACATCAGGTAGTTCCACCGATGCTTGATTCCATGGGTGAATGCCGCAAAAGCTGCATGTGGCTCTGTGTTAGCAATCTCAGACAGAGCTTGGATTTCCCTAACCCACTCATTCACCTTTCCAGTTACGTACTTGGTCTTGAAGTCCGTCGTGCCGATTACTAGGTGTCTTTGGCCATTCTTTGTTATTTTGACCTCACTTCCACCGAACACCTCCATTGCCCGTTCATAATGTTTTGGCTTCACAATGAGGAAGTACTTGCTGGCGTTTGGGTGGTACCCTATTTGTGGGCCTCGTGATGTTACCAGGTCCCACCACTTTTTTATGTCCACTTTTCCTGCTCCTGTATGGTCATTAGCGTATGCCACTTGCTTGACCTCAGTTGTTTCAAATTTTATTGTGTGTTGGAGCACGGATAGGCCTATTGCATACATTGCCATTGCAACAGGGTCCCCTGCATTGTTCCCTCGGTTGACTGTATGATGGTATCACCTCTTAGAACCTTGTTGTTTACTATATAGAGGTCTGATGGATTCCTATAGGAATTTTCAACATACATGGCAAAGCAAAAAACACTTGATCTTGATGTTGTGCAGAGCGGCCTTGCGGTTAAGTATGTTGAATGCGTTTGAAGCGTCCACCAGGAGAACGGCCTCACAATCACGCTGCTCAAATATCGTTCTCATGGCGTGAATGGCAGCTTCCCCTCCAGCCTGGTGGCCAGCACATGCTACTACTACTACTTTTTTTGAACGTGGCCTCCAGCCTCCCCCAATAGCCACACCTTCGCCGCCATTTTATTACCTTAAAATTAAATATCCTAATACAAAAGTTGCTATCCTAGCTGTGTTGAGTTAGTTAAGCTGCAGATCTATGCGGCATTCAGTGACTGTTGCCTCATAGTCAATATCTGCGACCATTGTCGGCTTTAGGGCCGAAGATCTCGTTCCCCTGAGGCAAAGCAATACAGACCTAAGAAGAGAGAAGGAAATTCGACCTTTCAACCAGGTTGTAATGTAACTTCTGGGCTGCTGCTTCCGTTCGGATAACACCTCCGCGAGTCTTGCATAGAAATATCTTGCACTTCGTCCCATCCCACCAATGGTTCTGAACACCAGAGGAGTGAAGCTGCCCTGATCAACATTCAGAATTCTCTACCCGTATACCCTGATCTTGTCATTCTCGTTCCTCCTGTGTGCAGCATCAAGAGCTTGGTTATGGTGACATGCAGCTATGGGATCGAAAATCCTTATGTCAAAGAAGGCTCACTGTCCCCTGCTTCCAGAATCTTCCAGCACTGACGTCCACACGGGCTTCTTTGGATGTGTTTGAAGTCTTGTGATGGAAATTCGCATCGTTCAATGGAAGGAGGGTCGGTCCTACCCTGGCATCATGGCGAATTTCCTGCAACATATTTGCTGTGAGATCCCTTACTTCGTCATGCCTCGTGGATACGACGTCCCCTTTCTTGCACACTATGTGGTAGATGTTGTAGGATAAGCCACACACGCATTGGGAGGCCAAATCTTCTACTGGCCTACCGCACCTTAGAGCAATGGCATCTGCGAATTCTTGTTTATTAAGACTGAAACCTTTTGCCCTTATCGGTAACGTTGTTAGCCAGTTCGAGGCGCTCAGCTGCTACTTGCAGCATCAGTTGCTGCAGTTTATCACTTTGGGTGTGCTGTCGATCTGTCGTAATGGACCCTCGAATCTTGTTTAATTCCTTGGTATCAAACTGACTTGCTGCATTCTGAGCTATTATATGCTCAGTGAGGGTTGCCGTGAGCTTGACTGAGTTCTGATGTTCAGTGGCAGCAAGCTCCTCTGGATTGGTGAATCCCATTCCTCTCAGTCTTGGTGGTAGTGCAAAGGTTGACTTTTCTGCTGGGGTTAAGTGAAGGTGTTTCACTAATTTTGGAATAAAATTGATACTGATAGCTTCTTCCAATATCAAGAATATCAAGAATAGTGCACATTAGGCAATTCCAGCAATGCTTGACTCCATGGGCGAATGCCACAAAAGCCGCATGTGGCTCTATTTTAGCAATATCAGACAGAGCTTGGATTTCCTTTACCCACTCATTTACCTTTCCCGTTACATACTCGGTCTTGAAGTCCTTCGTGCCGATTACCGCACCTACGTGTCTTTGGCCCTCCTTTGTTATTTGACCTCACTTCTGCCGAACACCTCCATTGCCCGTTCATCATGTTCTGGCTTCACAATGAGGAAGGACTTTCTGGCATTTGGGTGGTACCCTATTTGTGGACCACGTGATGTTATCAGGTCCCACCACTTTTTGATGTCCTCCACTTTTCCTGCTCCTGTAAGGTCGTCAGCATAGGTAACTTGAATGACTGCGGTTGTTTCAAATTTTATTGTTTGTTGGAGCACGGATAGGCCTAGTGTGTACATTGCCATGGCAACAGGGTACCCCTGCCAACAGGGTACCCCTGCGTTGTTTCCTCAGTTGACTGTATGGTGGTATCTCCTCTTAGGGCCTTGAAACTGGTTATATAGAGGTCTGATGGGTTCCTGCAGGTGTTTTCAACATAAATTGATCTTGATGTTGTGCAGTGTAGCTTTGTCGTTATGTTGAATGCATCGGTTGCGTCAACCAGGAGTTCTGCCTCACAATCACGCTGTTCAAATATCTTTTTCATGGCGTGAATGGCAGCTTCCCCTCCAGCTTGGTGGCCAGCACATACTTGCAGGTTCCCTTCAGCTGCCCTGGCATCATCATTAACCACCTCCATTATGCATTTTCTAATGATCTGTCTCGGCACTTCCCCCACCCCTATAGGTCTACATTCTGGATATTTATTCAGGGGAATGAAATGCCAGGCTGTCAGGGCATGATTTATTTATTTTTTTTTTTTACGGGGATTAGCCCACCCGGGCACAGATCACTGACCCTCATCAGGGCCTGGGGGGTGAAAATGTAATAATATTATTAATAATAACAATAATAATAACAACAATAATAATTAATAATAATAATTCAGATATGTAAAATTTATAACAAAAAAAATTAATAAAATCCAAAGATAATAATACTAATAATAACAGT